CACTCTAAACGTGGCAGCATGTAACGTCGACTGAGTTCACTTGAACGTCGTATTACAGTTAAGCAACTGCAGTACAGCGACAATCAGCCATCGTCTCCTGCTGATATCAGCATACTTATCTCTTCTTCGTACACTTTCATAGGAAATGAACGTCTATCTAGTAAGAGCTGAATGCCTCCACAATACTTTTATCCAAAATACAGTCATCGAGACAAAGCTAGTCGTCTTGGTTACAATCTATGAATGCAATCCAGCCAACTTTTACTTTAAACTGAAAATTAATGCCACATTAAATTACTAGTGACACCTTCGAAACCCCTATTTATTCATTTATTATCGCCAGCGAACTCTTCGTGAGTAATGTTTGCCCATTGTTCTCCCTTGTCAAGGCCAAACAGACCATGGAGTGGAGTACCCAGAGCTCACGCCTCCCATAGCTGCGCTGGCCAGTGACGAACAAAACGGCTTGCTAATCACGACTGGCATAGACGGTGGGACTCGATGCTGGCAACTGGACGTCTGCGTCTCTTCACGAGCGCCTTGTCTGGGCTGGAGCATTCGCCCGTTGGACGCCTACAGACCTTCCATCATCTACTGCCCTCTGCGGGTGTTGCATGCCCTCCTCTCGACGCCCACGACGAACGAGCATGCGACCGCTCCGGACACCGGCTTTCCGCGCCTACAGTACGGAGCCAGAAGTCGCGGAGCCTCAGTGGCGGAGTCGAGCTCGGCGGTTGTGCACGAGTCGAGCCAGATCCGTGCGGGCAGTTTGCTCTTTCTGGTGCTCAGGGACGCCGAACGATTCGCCTTTCCGGTGTCGGCGTTCGCCTGGGGCCGCATGGGCCCCTCGCGACTCGACCAACCCGCCTCGGCGGCTCACACTGCCCCCGTGGAGACCGTCGGCCAGGTACCAGCCGGGGCCGGCGGCAAGTCCAGCCTCTTTGTCACCGTGGCGCCGGAGGATGTTGACGGTGCCGTGCGGGTGTGGCGTGTGGAGGTGAGCGGCGATCGCAGACATCGTCCCGGCGAAGCGAACGTCGCCGAGGGCTCGGGCGGAATCCGTCTCGTGCGCCGGCTCTTCTGCGCTCGACCCGACGTCGCAGGTCGATGGTCTGTTGCCGCGGCTCTCGTTGACGCCAACGGTCGTCTGGTGGTGGCTCGCAAAAGGATGGTCTGTCTCTTGGAGGAGCGGCGGCCACGAGGCCTCGTCCAGTCGGCCGAACCCCTCGGTTCACCAGACAACAATCAGGGCGGACGTTCGGTGTCAAGGCCCTGGAATCAGGCAGTTCACGACGCGATGAACGAGGAGGAGGCTGTTTTGGTGAGTGGAGCGAATAGATCGGTCTTGGAGACGGGAAAAGCAGAAAAAGTAGGTAAGTATCACCGGACGCCGGAAAATGAGTCCTTCAGTCCTGTGACTCCGTCTTTCGTCTGTCGTGCGAGTGGCAGCTTTAGAATGTGACACGAAAGTTCTGAAGGCACAAGCACAGCGAAAGGTGGCCAGCCTCAATCTTACCCACTTTTATCCTCTTTC